ATCAGTTTGTGAATTTTGAAATTGGACACTACCATATCTGATGCTAATTAACGCAGACAAATTTACCTGCTGATCCCATTGTTGCAGCTCTTCAGTGTCGTCCTCAAAATGTATGACAGCTTCCACCTGTTATAAACTTATCAGATACATGCTAAGATGTGCGCTAGAATAAAAGATTGTCACAAAAAGCCACATATTTAGAATGGATTACAAAATCAAACATTAATCTGAATCTCATCCCAATAAAAAATTTCCCTTGCATCAAATATTGGAGTTTTAAGTTCCTCATAGTGGAAGCAGCATTCATGAAAACAAAATGAAACTCTGGGTCATACAGTGGATTGATGAACACTTAACATTCTTCCATATAATGAAACTGGAAGAGGTTCTCACAACTAAGGAGGCCTGATTTCTACGTCATAAGCACTGATGATTTAAAGTCCTCGGTTGGCATACACAACAATTTGTAATTCATACCTGATCAATAGATCCCCTCATTCTGTCCTCATAGATCATTTTTGATGCAATCTTCTCAGCCTGCAAGCCAGATATATAATCCATTTGAGAAACATGAATGGTAATATAGGGAGAGACAGAGAGGGCAGCAAAGTGCCCAACTCGACAGAAGAAAACTGTACCTTATGAGGTTCAATTCCCAGCAAAGTGCCCAACTCATCAAAACTGCCACATAACTCGGGATAATTAGACCAAGTTGTCCCCCTAGAATAACATAAATCAAAAAGAAAAATCAACAGCAACATCTCTCCAACCTTATATTTGTGTAAAGTTTGCTGGCACTGAGAAGATTATGTTCAATCATTGCACGATCTAACACCGTAAAGTTGTCCGGCAGAAGCGCTTTCTGTTCAGATAAATAAGACAACTGTTATGGCCAACGAAAAGTAGTTTGCAGATACAATATCTGAAATAGAGGAGAAGAAAGTTTATAACCTGATGCGGCTTTAACTCTTCAGAAAATGCATCAATTTCTGGTTTCCTCAAAATTCTCTCCAAATACACCTAAATATATATCCGTTAAAGCAACAGTTAAAGTGTAATATAGAGTCAGGAGAAAAAAAGAAGAAAAAAGTAAAAGATAAAATATATATATGAACCAGAGAGC